GAATTGGTTTTGGTGCTGAGAAGGCAAATCATTCCTCATCAGAAAGTTGGCGGTAAATTTATGCCTAATTGGGAGGGCCTGTTCGTTATTGAGAAAGTGTATTAGGGAGGAGCCTATCAACTTCTCAATTCGAAAGGTCGACGGCCAACGCCTCCAATTAATGATCGATACTTGAAAAAGTATTATACATAGTGGCCAAACCAAAGATGTTCAAAATTTCATTTTAAAATATAAATGATTTGTTTCATTTTCATATATATTTGAAATTCTTTTGTAGCACAAAAATGTATTTCAAAGTTATTGTAAATGTTCCCCCATAAGATTAAGGGCATTTTTTTAGTTCATTTGAGCTGATGTTGAATTTAAATTCACAAATTATGTTGCACTGTAGCACAAAAACCCTAAACCCTAAAACCCTAAAAATTCCCCCCGCAAGAGTGGGGGGTATTTTTTAGAAACCTTATATAAAATATATTCAATTTCTACTTACAAGACAAGGGGCTCATTGTTGGGGTTGACATCATGCGTCAAGCCGAGATCCCCAAATATGATGCCAAAATTCTCAATTTCAATGCCACAAGTATTAGGGTTGATATCAAGCTTAAATGCCGAGATCCTCAAATATTTGCTAGAAAAAACCATCAGGTAAAAATATATGCAAAATGAAATTTGAAAGACAGAGATTTTCTTTGATCAAAATTCTTAAAGTTCAAACTAAAAAGACTTTGATATTTGCGAGCCTTGACGATTCAAGTTGGAAGGATGCAAGCTCTATCACAATTCATGTCTAAAATTCAGAGAGGGTAAAAAAAAAAGTTAAACTCAACAAGCCCAAATATGTCCGAGTTGCTGCAGCTTGCTTCACTCAACAAGCCATAAAAACGATCGTAGTGAAGGAGCAAGCTTTTCCTACTCAACATGCCATAAAAACGTTTGTATTAGGAAAAACCCTACCTTTTTAGTTTGATGACAGGACTTGTCCAGTTCCCAAGTTCATCCAATTTGACAAGTTTAAGTTTTTAAAATCTAGAATACTTTTTTTTTAAAAAAAATTAATAGATAAAAGGAAATCCCTAAGTCTATAAATTGAAGCTTCATAAGCTGAAGAAGCAAAAGTTTGTTATAATCGAAATCTGGGAATCAAACATATCATGAAGGTCGGACTTAACAAGCCCCAACTATGACTAAGTCGTTGACAACTTTCTTCACTCAACAATTCATAAAAACAACTGCAGTGAAGAAGCCCCCATTTGTTAGTCCGATGGCAAAGACTATCAAATACCAAACCTATCCAACTTGAGAGTTCAAGTGAACTAGATCAAGAAATTTTTCTTGATCGATTAAAGGTCAAAGAAAAATAAAAAGAAATGGACACCGCTAAAAACAAAACATTAAGTTGAGCTTGATATTCTTTTTAAAGAAGCTTCAACAAAGGAGGAAATTAAAAAAAAAATGAAAAAAAAAATCAACTAATAAGATCATAAATACATAGAGATGTCAAATTACCAAATGTTGTTAATCTTACAAATGGTGAAATGTAACAAGCTACAATCAAAACATCATAAAAGACAGACTGCAGAGCTCGAAGCTCTGTCATAATTTCAGTAAGAGCCTCATACTCAGTCTTAGCAACCTACAACTCCTGCACCACCTAAGTCAAGGCTGAATATGCAACTAATAAGGCCCAGTGACAAGTCTGAAATCAGAGCTGCTCCCTCTCAATTGTCCGTGTATGCCTGGCGTGCTCCATTTGAAGACCGGCCTTGCACGACATGCTGTCTCTGATCTCTCCTAGAAGATGCTGTATACGAGCCCCTAGACTCTCAATCTCAGCTGAAGTATCAAAAGTGTGTTGGCGAGACGTCTGTAAAGCTGCAGAGCCTCTCCAACTCATCATGTGCCACATCAGCTGCCTCACGACATCTCCTAATCCTTTCATGAAGGTCAGGTAACGAAGCTCTGGTCCGATTAATACTGAGAGCTCTGAGTCTTCGAACAAAATACTCTGCCTCCCGGCATACCACCTCCTAGTATGTGAGCTCTGGGCCTCCCAAACCAAAGTGCGATAAGAAGTCCAACACAACATTTGCATCCGCAACAAACCTCCTTAAAGACTGATGAGATGTAGGATTTAATCCGGATATCAAACTCCATAGATAGGCTAATGCCTGTTCATGCATATCCCGGTGCCTAATATTTGAAAATGACGGATGTTGATATCGGATCTCAGACTCGTAGTCTGCTCCAATTGGTGTTGTTGGAGAGAAATATTAAATATTAACATGTTATAATGAAATCACATATATGTATATATATCAAGGTAAAAAGTGAAGGATATTGCCTAAGCTAGATTCCCCCATGTCCACTGAGGAGCTATCTGGACGAGATATGATGGGTACGATAGCCAAATCAAGCGGAGTGAAATCTAATACTGGCTTTTCAAATAATGACTCTATCTCAACTGAAATCATCAAATAAGGATGGATCTCCTCCGGTGATGTAAGAGGTTGAGGACTATGACCAACCATCTGATTAATTGGAACAGAGGAAGACTCACCCCGAGATTTGACATGTCTATCTGCTGAAGGATCGTCGACAAAAGATGAAGGTGACTCCCTAGCTCGTACTTTAGTCGGTGAAGAGACAACTGCCTCTTCTACAATGGGCTCATCCCATCTCTGATCTTCATTGTAAAGAAAATTAAATAAAAAAAGTTTGAAAGGAAAATATAAAAAAATAGTTTATAAAAGAAATTTTGCTTATAAAAATTTTTTCCTATACTATCTTCAACGCGTGGAACACTGTGATGGGACCTCTGATATCGAGGGAAACGAAATGGTCTCTATAATACCACTAAAGAAGAGCTTCATAATGATATCCTCTAGTGAGATACAACACTATCAAAGAATGAGCAAGGAGCCAACTGATATAGAGTACAACTCGTCAGTGCTGGTACCCAAGTGTCAAAGTGCTGACCGAACATCGTAGTGATGCACCCTGAGCGCCGCAACACAACAATACGGCCAAGATAGTTATTCACTTCAAAATTTAAATTAGAAAGTAAAAAGGTGCAGAGGAGGCGTTTAGGAGAGAGAAAGAGACCTACTTGTGTGCGAAGTCTTTTGTATGAATGTGTGTGTGTAAGGGTGGGGGAGATTACTAGTGTGTGTGAAGTCTTGTAGTGTGAGTGGGTGTGTAAGAGTGTGGGAGGCTACTAGTGCGTCCGAAGTCATGTAGAGTAAGTGAAAGAGTGAGAGAGTGTGCTTAGCTAAGGAGATCAAGTGGGAGTGCGGGACCAAAGAATTGAAGTTTCTATAGCAAAATTTAGATTGCATTCAAGGATTTCAGGCTCTTTAATTTCTCTATCTTTTTTGTATTCTCATTTATAAACACTTGTGATTTTTGGTTCAAGTGCACAAGATTTTATGTTGTTAAGTTTTGAGTCATGATAGGCTAAGTGAATTCTCCTTTGGATTTGTGAATTTTATTTTAATTTTCTTTAATTATGTATTTTAGTTGAGTCCTTACTGAAATTACTTATTTACTATTTTCTAATTTAATTTAACAATACATACACTTGTTTAAATTTTTTTGAGAGTTTGAGATATCAAAGGAGCCTTGTTTTTTATATGGAGATTAATAACTAGGGTTTGGGGGAGTAGAAATACATCAACTAAACCATAGCAAATACTTAGGGAAATGAGTTTATAGATTTTAGAAGTTCTTAATGCATAGACATATAACATTGTTAAATTTAAAATTAAGGCTTTTTTTTATCGACAGAGATTAAAAACCATCAGTGATCCCAATTAACAATACATTAATTTTAAAATCATAATTTAATTTTGCAAATCCAAAATTTTTATTTTGAATTTAACAATTTCTACAACAGCTGTCATTTAAATATAAAAATTTTGGTGATCGTAATAGATTTTAGAGTTTTAAAAACTAGTGTTTGGCTTCTAAATAATGATTACATCATTCCTCATAGGAATGATATTGGATTCAATTCACTTTATTATTTGAATGATATGTACACTCTCCAAAGAGAAGTACTAATTTTTTTTTACCCTAAACTACCAATTACCTAAGCCACGTTCACCTATTGCAAACAAAAAGATCATTTAGGTCTCCATTTTCAACGGCCAAAGATGTGGACAAGGTTGTTGGAAATGACCATAAATCGTATTAATGTGGAAAGACTAGAGCAGTGTAGCAAGGCCATCCACATCAAGCCTCCAAAGGGATGCCACAACAAGAAGAGACTTTTAATAAGTCATGAATGATGACAAGAATTGTCCCCAAATTTACGAAGTAGAGAAATGGACACAATTTCAAAACCAATCATGTTGCAAGGAGAGGACTCGTCCACGTTGTGATTGCTCTCAACTTTAATATGTCCTACTTTGTATTGTATTGGCACCTCAAATTATAATTTTTCTTAAATACAAGTAGAAGTTATTTACCTTGGCAAGCCCACGGCTTGATTTCCCATCTAAAAAATGTTTGAAGTTGAATTCTCTTCTATTTAGATATTCTTGATGTTAATCTTAAAGGGTTTTTTGATCTATTCACACTATAAATAAATTTTATAAACTAATGATTTTCTTTGTATTAAAATAAGATCATCACACTATTAGGATTTTGAAGATATCTGCATCTTTCCAAATGATGGCATTTAGTAATTTCTTCATTTTCTTAAAATATATTTTCAAACTTCAAGTAACAAAATGAATTTAGAAATGATTTTATTGTAGAAATTTATTAGCCTTTTTTAAAGGAACTTTTATCTTGCTACCAAAGCATAGCTCACATTTCATTCATTCTTGGTAAAAAATAGGCCCTTTTCGTTGAAAACACAACTAAATTTTATACTATTCCTTATTATTGATGTTATAAATGTTTTTCATATCATAAAATAATAATATTCACTCATAATAAAGCAATTTGCAAATAATAATAGCATAAGATATGCTTGCATGTGGCACTTAATAAAATGCATATAAGAAAAGGTTCAAAATGTAATAAAGGCATCTTATACATGCATCTTCTAGCACACATTTTCAATAAAATAATTTATCATCATAAACACTTATGGTCGTCTTCATTGCCATAGAATATTAACATACTTCCCTTCTTACCTCTTACTAACTAGCATATAATTAGTAACAATATTACTTATATTTATATCACTTATTCTTCTTAGACTCCATAACTCATTGCTCAGGAAGCAGTGGAAGGAAACCATGTCGACGTGCTGCCGTCCAAATCTCCTCCACTTGAAGCACAGTCTCACCACATTCATGTTCATCGTATCCCTCTAATCCATGAATTATTCCAGCGATACGCCATGCACTAATTACTCTCCTTGGCAGCCAATTCTGCATTGTTATTTGAACTTGGTAGTCAAATATATAATTTTAATGAAACCAAATTGAATACTGTTACAAAGTCTTTGTTTGGACTATAGTAAAAGAGAGGGAAAAAATGAAAATCATGTGATTTATTGGTTGAATAGGAAAATTTTGCCATTACTATTACCTCGCAAGAGTGCATGTTTTGTAATTCATTTGGAATTTTCATGGCTGGAGTGTTGTAATAAATGCAATCTTTTCTAACTTTTTTTGGTGGAAAATGTGAAAATGGAATGAAGGTTGTTCCAATTTGTGCCTTCCTTTGTTCTGCATCATCCATACCATCTCCGACCAACCAAACCTACAAAAAATAAGAAATTCTTTGAAGTTATTTCAATTTTTTATTCTATCGCAAGCACAAAAGCCATGCAACTATGATAATCTTTGATGAAAATTGAATTCATTAAATTCATGTGTTTAAAGAGCAAATGGATTGGCTTTTAGTGTTATATTATCAAATAAAGAAAAAAAAAACAAAATCTGAATGTATGCAAAGTGTAAATTCTAATGAAAAATATTTAGATTATAAACATGTTTAAATATCAGTAGATCTGTAATTGATTTGTCAATTTTATCAACATATTTATAATTTAGTGTATTATTCTTTATCTAGTTTTATCAGTAAATTGCAATTATAGGAGTACAGAAGAATCTCATTAAATAATTTCCATGAGAACAATTCCATAAAAATACTGGTGTTAAATGTTTATTATGATTGTTGTAGATTTTATGATAATTATAGATTTTTCTTCATTACATAAACAATTATTTTAGGTAAACTGTTCTGGCTTCATAGAGCAAAGGAAATCATTACCTGAGGCATATAATTGTTTGAAAGCATAAGGTTTTCTTTTGTATTTCCTAGCAAGAATGGCTCATGCATATAATAGTCATGTTTGTTTGCCATTACAACCTGTATATAATAGCATAGTTAGCAGTGATTTGCTTAAGTGTAGCTAGCAAAAATATATACCATGAAAATATTTGGGATTTTCTATAAATTAATTTTTAATAATTGAATTTACCTTTACACCTTTGTTGCAGAGGCATTGGACCACTGTGCGAGCAACTTTTGATATGTTACCTATCAATAAAATTTGTTTGGTACCTTTGGGAATGCTATTAAGAATCACAGCAGCTGCCAAGCTACTCCCATCCACAATTCTTAGTTTCAACTTTGGATACTTTTGAAGGTAAAGCTCACCACTTTCATTTAGCTCTTTTGACTAGAAATAAAAAAAAATAGTCATATAAGTAATCTAAGTGCTCTAACTCAAATGATATGTTTCATAGTTATCTTTATGTTTATATTATCTCTTTAGCTAGATAATTTAGATCAACTAGGTTGAGCTATTGAGTTTCTCTTCATATGAATTACCAAATCTTAGAGCTTGTAATGTGGCGCTAAGCTTTTTTATATTTTTTAAATTTTTATGTATTTAGATTAATACCAAGTTAAGCATTTCATCGAATTTGTAGACAAGCTCATTATGGATGATAAGGTATCAACTTATAGTTCATGTAAAAAAACGCTAAGACTTTTTCATTTTTATATGAATATATTAAAAGCTAACCTAAGAAGTTGGGATAAGGATGATGGTGATGTTAATCAACTATAAAAATATAAATGCAAATGCTTTAATTTGTACTAGCTAATGTATAACTAAAAAAATTTATGAGCATTTACATGTCAATTCAATACCACTAAAACAAAGTTGATGATACAAACTCAATTATTATGTTAATGATCTTAGAAAGCAATAAGTTATTTTTTGTTTTTTCTTGAACTACACTACAAAATTTTTTTGTTCATTTATTCATGAATTTAGGATTATTATTACTATTATTGTTTAATTACCAAGGTGAAATAGTAATGCACATGCCTGGTTGAGCAATCCTAAACTCAAAACCTTAACTCCCTTGGCATCAGCCTCTAAAATGGTCTTTTCAATCAAATCATTTATAGCTTCTTTCTCCCATGATAAGCCATACTGCACATAGAAAATGCAAGTTGTTTAGAAATATCATAAAACTATATTATCATTCAAAGGAAAGGTGATTTTCATACTTGGAATTTGTATCTTGGTATGACCCATGTTTGCATTTTGATATCCTTCAACTTATTTCTTTCGACAACAAAGGAAGAATTGTAAAACCATGTGAGTACCATAGACACCCACGCGATCGGCCACATCATCAAGTCATGCCACTTGGACTTGTATGGTTTAGAAGCCAGAGATGCAATCCCTAGCCTTAGATGATATATTGATTGCAAGGTGGTTGGATGTGTAAGGTGAACAACATCTATTATCTCTTTCTTTCCTTTCAATGAATTTTCATAAAGTTCATCTGATGATTTATCAAATGTGTTGTACAAATAGTCATAAAATGGCATGAATAAGGAGTAGTTAGTCCGAAATTGTGTATGATGGAGTGAATGAAACCTGCATCAAAAGAATTATTCCATTCCCTCATAAATAATGAATCAAGCAAAAACAATTTTAATAATATGGTATTTCATCATAGTGAAACTAAACATAGCTCATGTCTTCAGACTCCTGCTCAGTTTATTCCTTACATGAAGATTTACTTTCTGTAAGGACGAGTACTTACGAGGGAGTGTACATGAGGTATTTCAATGGTGGAAAGGCTGAGAATAGCCACTTTGGAACCAATTCAAAGTTGCAATGTCCCATATTGTTCATAAAGTCAATGTAGAAAATATATCCTACTAATTGTGCCATCGAAGCCGTTCTAGTATAGACTGTGGCCAGAATTGGGATAGCAAATAACATAAAGTAGACGATGTGCTCTGCAAATGGATGAATAACAGCTGCAATTAACATCAAAAGAAAATATTAGATATATACTTGCATGAACTAGAACTTATGATTCTTACTCTAATTTCAAAATTTATCAAACTTGCATGTTAGAGTGGTAGATATTTTCTCTCTATAGTTCTTTGGTACTTATATGGATCAGCTAAATAGGACAAGTCTTATAATTTAAATGGTATTTTTATAATTTAAATGGTATTAGATTGTTAGCTTGATGCTGTTTTGCTTTTTAATATTGAAGTTGTTTCAAATTTTTTTGTTAATGCATAACAAATTTATAAATCATGAATGAATAGGCTTAAAAATCACATAAATCTTTTGGTTGGCTATAGGTAAGAGGAGTATTTATTTACATACATTGTAAAGTTTTAATATCTCAACCAAAATTTACAAATTATCATTCAAATAAATTTTACTATTTGTTTGCCTTTTTTTTTTTCTAAAAGAAATGTAGGCATAATATTTACACTCAAAATTTCTAAACCTCACTAAACCTAAGCTATGCATGAAAGAACAATAAATAGTGCTTTCATGTTGTAGGAGTTGAACTCGAACAAAATATGCTAATATGACGGGCTAATTAGCTGCTGTTTTTATACCAAAAGGTAACATAAATATATTCTTTGAGTAGAATGACGGCTCAAGCTCGACAATTTTTCATTTTATTTTTAACTAATATTCTAACTAATTTGTTGCACTTATGAGCACAATGTAACATAAATGTTGAATAAGCAAGACCAACAAAATTTCTTAATTTACATACATAAATTGAAATTATTAAAAAATAAATATGAAATAAATTAAAATTTTCTGTTAAAATTGATTATTTTATAATATTTACAGATGATGATAAAGTAGTCGAATATAAAATTAACCTTAAAATTATGAATGGTTAGAAATGTCATACTTGGCTAAATTTGCAATTGAGCCGTAAAGTGGTCCCTATTTTGAAACTGATCCTACATTGAAATATTTATTTTTTTACCATGACTCAGAATTCTTGATGCCTAATTTAAAACAAAGTAAAAAAAGCCAGCGATTTAAATCAAAGCTTTGCCCTATCTCGTGGAAAAATAAAAAAAGCATGCCTGATATAAAAAGGGTTATTTCCAACAACCAAAATTAATGCACGAACCTCAAAATAAGATGAGAGCTTAAAAATTTAATCCCCTCATTCTTAGGTTTAGAAGAGAAATTCTCTCTCCCTCTCTCTGATCTGTCTGTCTTTCTATCTCTTCACACACACCACAAATGTATATATATATATATATATAACCAGAGGTTCGATTCCCCCGGTGGAGAGTGTGGTACTCGATTTGTTAGGCGCATTGGGGATGGCCGGGCTCGTATAATAGCCTCAATCCATTCCTATATATATATATATATATATATATGTATGTGTATATATTTATTGGTATTAGAAAATAAATGTGGAGAAATTTAGCCAAACAAGAACTAGGGTCTAAAGGTTACAAATGGCTCTTAAAATATATAGTAATTAAAGCTCAAATTAATGGGTCTAGTTGAACATTTATTGCCTCATAACTCCTGTTAATACGTATGAGGTATGTTTTTGCTCTTAAAATATCTAGTAATTTAAGCTCAAATGAATGGTTCCGCCCCTTTCCACTCATTTCTTATATATTCATATATTTAACAACTAAACTTCAATTTTTACATATATGCTTATATGATTATGCTTGAAAATTTGTATTTTGCTTTAAAGTCAAACTATTGTTATTTTTGATGTGACATGAAAGATTTTATTGGTATAAATGTAAAAGGCCAAAGTGTATGTGCTGAACATATATGTAAATACATATGAATTGGGTGATATGTCTGTAAATGTCCCACATAATGTCATGCATGAGGTTCTCTATCTAGAATTCAAGCTTTTTTGAAGTAACACAAAATTAAAATTACAGAAAAAAGAAAAAAAAAAACATTAAAATTTACAGAACTTACAAGTGATTGGTTCGGTGACAATAGAGGCATGGTGGTGAGAATGGTAGCGGGAGTATAGAAAATGATGATGCAGTGCCCGATGAAACCAATAGTATAAGAACTCAACAGGTCCAGCATGCAATAAAATGGTTATAATGAAGCCGTTGAAGTTCCATAAAGAAATTTGTTTAGCAGCAGTGATCAGATGAAAGCCCACATAAAAGAGAATCCCATTGAAAAGTATCTGATCATCCCTGAAATCAACATTAATGATATTAAATATTTACATGCATATCACTAATTAATTCTTATGCATTTACATATATATTTAACACCTAAATTTTAATTTTTACATTTATGTCACCTTACTCAAGCATGAAACAATGTACTAATTTCACTTTTTCAAAGTTATAGCAGTGACATTTTCGTTGTGATATATATGAAAGATTTGAGCGGTATGATTGTAAAAAGTAAATATTAGGTGTTAGATATGCGAAGGCAAAGGAATTGGATGGTTTGTTTGTAAATGTCCATAATGATATCTAAAACCTGAACTTTGATTTTTTTCATAAATGCCACCATAACTATGCATGAAAAGCTGTATTTCATTTTTTTTTAAAAGTTAAAATGGTTGTATTTTTTATGTGATATGAAAGATTGATTTGTGCGGTATATTGTGCGGTATAAATGTAAATTAAATTTTGTGTTAGCTAGATATGCAAATAGAAAGGAATTGGATGGTATGTTTGTAAATGCCTGTAATGATATTTATGATATTCTCATATGTTGCACACCTTTTGAAAGGTAAGTGCGGCTGTGTTTGTTCTTGAAGTAGGAAGTCTTTAAAATTTCAAATATTTTAAAGGCAATTTATGGAGTTGAAATTCAATTTTCTTGTATTGTCTGCAAATTAAAACCATCTGATTATATATGTATAATTTAAATATGATAAAAAAAATTACATCTTCACAAAAGTAAGTCAGAATATGCTAATCTACTTTTTTTTTTCCTTCACACACTTTAATTAAAGCATCATTTATTAAGTGTGTCATCCGGATGTAGGACGACAGTGTGAATCACACCATGCCCTTTGCACAGCTGTGTGATGTGATCCACACCGTCGTCCAAACATACAATGTGTAGGCATACTATTTTCCCGTTCTTCCTTCAAAATCTTAGATCTTTCTCATTTTTTTAATAGTAGCTACCAAACTAGAAAAAAAAAACTCAAAAAAAGGGAAGGTTTACATACATGCTGATCAATTATTATGTATTTACAAATATTTCATACACTCGAACTCCAATTTTTACATACATGTCACCTTACTCATGCATAAAAAGGTGCACTTTACTTTTTAAAATTTAAAATGGTGATATTTTTGTTTTGTTATGAAGAATTTGGGCGGTATAAATGTGAAAAGTAAAGTTAAGGCGTCAGATATGTAAATGCATAAGAATTAGGTGGCATATATATGTAAATACCCCTAAAAGTTATTTATTTATTTATTGCCTTCTGGGATTACTTTGCTAATTCCGAGTTTGCATTGCTAACCATTTTATATGAAATTAAGCCCAAATTATAATTTATTATAAGAAAACTGTAGCTAAATATAATCAACAAAACCTGCATATTATGGCTTACCAGTTCCTCTCACGATCAACTTGCTCAAAATCTATACTTTTGTCAACAATCCGATGAGGACTTGTTGCAGTTTTGAAGCGAGAGATGCTGATCCATATCTGATTGTGTAGCATTCTTAGCAGAAGTGAAGGGAAGACCAAAGAATAAACTATGGAGATATCCTTCAGATCCTTCGTTGCAAGCAAGTAGAAACTATGCGCCACCCATGGAGCTATAACCAGGTACTGCATCATAACAAGAAATATTACATATTACATTTTAGTTCCAAGTATAATTTTTTAAGGGTTTTTACATACATTCCACAAAATATTTATGTATTTACATTTATAAACTTCAAAGTTTGATATTTAAACTTGTAACATTTTTGTGTCATAAATTTATGATGATGATGACGATATTTTTGATGTGATGTTAATGATTTGAGTGATATGCATGTAAACATGAATGTTTAGATGTTAATGTTAGATATCGAAGGGTTTGTGTTTGTTTGAGAATGAGGCTATGCTCCATTGCGTTGCAGAGAACATCGACAGAACCCTTCGCCTTTGTCTGGTTCATTTCGTCTTCATGAGTTGTGTCGACTGCACAGGTATTTCTCTTCCATTTCAGAACGCAAGATCTTCAGGGCTCTGGCCCTTGCTTTTAAATTTTTCTCAAAGGTAAAATGTTGTCTAAGGAACCCAAATTATATAAAAAATGTGCGGTATTTATGTAAAGTTCCCAAAGATAAAAGAGATAAATTAGTTGTAATACATGTATTTGAATATTCAAGAAAATTAAATTCTATGTTAAGAAAATAATTTGATCCATGTAATATATATCTTTTTGTTTCTAATTATACCGTTTTTTTATTTTTTAAAATCCTTCTTTCAAATTTATCTTTTCATTTTAACTCAAACTGTGGGGAATTATTCTGTCATAATCTTTTCTTTCCTCCCCTGAATGTTGTAAATGAAAACAAAAAACTTATTACAAAAATGAAAAAAAAAATGTTGCACGTGATCCACCTTGTAAATAAAAACTAGATCAAGCGGGTCCATCATTCTCTATGATAGCGAGATTTTGATCTGACAGCCGAATTTTGTTTTTATTTTGGGCAATCTTTCTTTCTTTTTAAACAAACCTTGCTCGGTTTAAACTCATGGAGTAAGAATTTATAACATACTGTGTCTTCATTATTTGCAAAAATACCAACCCAGCAAATGCAAAGCTTAGCAGGAAAAAATGGCAGTTGGGCCATATATTACCTTGAAGTTTCCAAGCTTCTGCCATGGCCACTCTGTGAGCAATCCTGGTCTTGAAGCCATGAATCTCCCAAGCTCTCTACTCTTGCAGTCACTGCAACTGTGGAAAAACACTTTCTTCCATGTGGTCTATTTAAAGATGGAGGGAAAACTGTAAACAAAGATTTTTTGGGGCATTTACATGCATACCCTACAATTCTTATGTATTTACACATCAAATACCTAAACCTTCATATTTACATATTAATCCTTCTCAAGTCCTTCACACAGCATCAATATTACCACTATCATTATCTTTTGAACAATGAAAAGCACATTTCTATATGTAAATCCTTAACACCGAAGTGCTGCAAGTATAATAATCAAACTCTGGGGGCTAGATATGTCAAAACATAATTCTAGAATTATAATATATGTACAGAAGAATATTATCATGTAGGTAATCTGCCCGTTGCTTGATTTGGTGCCACATGATTTATATCTATATTCATTTCTCATCATCCAAAAAAAAAGAAAGTATTTTGCTCACTAGTCAACATCTAAAAAATATTTTAAAGAAAAAGAATTTTTACCTTCTTCAACAATTAAAGCAGCAGTTACTAATAAATATGGGTTGGGTGGCCAACTGAGGAGCACATGGTGGCATCATTTTACTTGTTTCACGACAACACTGTTTTTCTTCACAGCTTGGCTTCCTTCCATTAATGGTAAACTTTGGCTGTTACAGTAGCATCATGTTTGGCCAGCTTAATTAGTACAATAAATTTAAATGATAATTTTGAGATTTTTATTTGTTTTTTTCTGAAAATTCCATTATAGCTGTGATGATAGCTCAGATGGAGTTTGTTGTGGGGGAGCTTTCATCTCCCTTTCATAGTCTTATGCTAGGGTTCTTTATGACTTTGAAATTCGAACTTATCTCTTTAGCACAGCTGAAGCTATTTAGATAAGCTGTTGTTCAAAAAATTATACACAATGGAGAAAAAGAGTTTAGTAATAATTAGAAAGAATCTAAAGTATATTTGTCTAGAATGAAATGAAAAGAGTTTATAAGTTTCAAAATTTAGTCTCTCAAGCCTATAAATAGACATAACCATGATGGTGTCATATAAGCCAAAGACTATTCAACAAAGTTTAGTAATAAAAATCTCACTATTTTCTTCAAGGATGCACGTGTCACTGTAAATAGCAAACTTTTTAAAGTGAAATATGTTACATTGTTAATCCACTGATAATGCCATTAGGGTTCAGCAAGTTTTCAAGATTAAATCATCCGAAGAAGCATTACTCTATTAAAGCCCACTAAACCAAATTCACACTAAAATTGAAGTCGATCGATGGGAGAGAAGATCAAGTTTCGAAGAACTCGGAATCAAAATCACCATTTCACATGGAAAACTACTCAACCACTATTGATCTCACCGATTGAACTAACCAGATAAAAACCTTCAGAGAAAGCTCTTCTTCTACAGCGATCTCTTTCTTTCCGGTCAAGATCTTGCCAGATTGACAAGCTGTGCAACCTTGATGACCGTGACAGAGACCTTGACGCTCGAGTACACTTCTGCGTCGCCTCGTTCCCGCGTTGGGCGACGCTTAAACTCGCTTTCACACGGCACAAGACCTCCCACACTGCGTCGTCGCGTGGCCCCTGCTTTCACACAACAAAACAAGTTTGCGGGCATTTACATACATACCACCGAATTTCTATTTATTTACATATATAACACTTAAATTTTAGTATTTATATTTATATCCCGAAATATTTCATAGCTAATGAAAATACAGTCATTTAAACTTAAAAAAAGTAAATACAACTTATGCATATAAGGCTGTCAAAAAAGCTCGTTGTTTGCGAACAACTCTTGTTCGGCTCATTAAGTAGCTCGTGTTCGGCTCGTTTGTTAAGTAAATGAGCCGAACATGAACAACTCCTTGTTGGTTCATGTTCGACTCGTTTTAGCTCGAAATAAAAAATATATATATATATATATAACTATTTATATAACAATATATTATATATATTATTTATATAATAATATATTTTATATATTTATGTCTAAGTCTAAATCATAACACTTCATGCGACAATATAGTTAGTGTTTTCTTTTGTGTATATTTGGTCCTGGTTTGAATTCCACAATTTACATCTATTTTTCTCAATTTAATTTTAACGAGTCAATTTCGAGCCAAACACGAGTCGAACGTGAACACAAATATTTAAATCGAGTCGAATACGAACACACTGTTCACGAGCAGATTTCGAACACGAGTTGATTTCAAAAACGAGCTATTTCGAACGAGCCGAATACTAGTCAAGCCTGAGTTCGCGCAAGCTCGGCTCGTTTATAGCCTTATATATGTCTCATTCAAGATGCTAGCGAGTAAAATCAAACGAGAAAATAAGGGATGGTCTAGTCACATCAAAGATAACATGGAGATAATTAATGCTACTATCATGGGAAGCAATTTGCACTTCACTTGGATTAAGAACGCAGCACTTTGTCACATTGAAATTAATACAAATTAGAGGTGGAATAGTTGAACAATTAGCTTGGGCCACTCAAGACCTTGAGATGTGGATGTATACTCTTTAGGATGCAAGGCTCTATAATACTCGCATGTGCATGCAGCTTAGTGAAAGATCTTGTGCCTAATGAAGTTATTCACCCACATTACTCACCTAATAAATTTTTCCTTGTACTCATTTTAAAAATATTGAATTGAGGGAAAAGAGGGATACAGTTACTCAAACTCCATATGGCCAGATGTAACTTATGTTTGAATATCCTCACTTGTAGGGCTGTAAATTTAGCTCGCAAAATGTTAATTGCTCGAAAATATATTCACATTTTGGCTTGGACTGAGATCAGGTTGAAATAAACGAGCTGAGCTGTGTGCCAAAACTTTGGATCAACTTTTTTTTATGAGCTGATTTTGAGTAATACATGGATCGGTTTGAACTTATTCAAGATCGGCTTGTTGTATTTTTTTTTTTTATATATAAAATTATGTATATGATGCTAAGTAAATTGAATATAATGAGTCAGAGTTAATTATGAGTCGATTTCGAGTTGGAACGGATTCAAATAACTAAATTTGAGGAAATTTGATTATATTTTGAGTCAGATCAAGCCAATTCTGAGCTAAAACAGATCCAAATAACTCAATTTGAGCCAGCTTGTTTCGATTTCGAGTTGGATCGAGCTCGATTCAATTTCTAGCTGGCTCGACTCGAAATCAAATATAACAACCCATGAGCCAATTTTGAGCCGCAGTAAATCTTTTTGAGTTGATTTCGAGCCGACCCTGCCTTGACTTGAAATTGGGTCGTTAACAGCTCTGTCACATGATTTGAGCCTTAGTTGTCTCAATTGTGTATCACGCGTCATAGCTCTTATCTATTAATAAGAGATTGAACAATTAGAAAAAGATAAATTAGGGCTTATCTATTAATAAGAGATTGAACAATTAGAAAAAGATAAATTAGGGCTTATCTATTAATAAGAGATTGAACAATTAGGAATAGATAAATTAGGGATGATAATTTAGGCAATTCTTCCTGAAGAAAGTTTAATGTATAAATTTGAGTGGAGATATAACAGAATATTTAATAGGTTAAGGTCAACTAATCTTCTCAAGCTTCATAAAAAATAAACCAAAACTTACATAACACCCAGTTCTTATACATGTTGAGATTTGTATCTTATTTTAAGGAGTCTAATTGTAAATAGGAAATATAGAAGAAGTCTAGGGTTATTTGTAAGAGGATTGTAAGAATCTATACAAGCCCGGTTCATGGATGAAGGAAATAGACTTTTTATCAAAGTAATCATTTCTTCATGGTATCAAAACCCTAACATCGTCATTGCTGCTCGATCGTACCAGCACGAGTCAAGATCGATAGTCTAGAGCGAGCAGCGTATGCAGGATGGATCTCACTTGCCCCGTAGTGTCAATGATATGCTAGCTGAGAAAATAAGGATGGGATTGCAGCATGAAAGACCAACAATAGGATTCAACAATGGGATCGCGAGATATAGAGATCGTAATTTGCATTTTGCAACGTACAGAGACCCAAAACTCATATTTTCCTCTTCCACTGTCGTGATTAGAGCTAATTGGGAAGGTAATGGCAGGATTATGGTGTGAACCTTACGATACAGTTGTGATAAAGT